GCTCGCGCCCTGAGTGGTGTTATGATGGATCGGCCGCGTGAGTGGTGTTATGACCACCGGGGGCGCTATCACAAGAGTGGCAGCTTGTGCGACACCAGGGCTGGTGGCGCGCTATCACAAGAGTGGCAGCTTGTGCGACACCAGGGTGGACTGGATGGGATCGGGTTGAGGGTGTGCGACGCCACGCCAGGGGTGGGGTTTGCATGGCTGCGGGCGTGATTCGATGGGCCTCGTGCTACCGTGCAAAACTCCATTACCGCCCAGACACATTCAGACTGACACAGACTTTTGTACGTATCGGGATGATACGCAGGTCAGATGCATTTGGAACTCATGCTGTGTAGTGCAGCGAGGCCCTGTCCGTGGTCAAACAGATCGAAACGGTTGAGCGACGCCCCCGACTCTGAGGTGTAACATTTCTTTTTTTTTGTGGAGGTCAATGCTTTTTTTTTTTCGTGGAGGTCAGTGCCTGCCCTTGTGCTCCCCGCCACTGACATCCTGCATGCTGCAGGGCTCTCTCTCTCTCTCTCTCTCTCTCTCTCTCTCTCTCTCTCTCTCTCTCTCTCACACACACACACACACACACACACACACNCTCTCTCTCTCTCTCTCTCTCTCTCTCTCTCTCTCTCTCTCTCTCTCTCTCACACACACACACACACACACACACACACACACACACATGCACACATGCGCACACACTCTCTCTCTCTCTCTCTCTCACACACACATACACACACTCACTCTCACATATACACGCACACACATTCTCCTATCTATTGATGGGGAGTGCCACCCGCCGGAAACTGGGTCCAGCGTCCCATGAACATCGTGAATAAAGCACCAATCGGGACCCCACACACACGTGAATAAAGCACCAACTGGGACCCCCCCCACACACTCTCTTCGAGTTGTGTATAGAGAACATGACAAAACATACACACAGCATAATCACTACCTTACCCTTCCCCAACCACATGAACAAACAAACTACGGGCTGCACACGCGTGCCCTCATGGTAAGTCAATATCTTTAGAATGGTGGGGGGCAACCTCCCACCACTACAGAACTCCAACAACATAGAGAGGGAACAATGTCACAGCATGTGTCTTTAGAAAGGTGGGGGGCAACTTCCCACCACTCCAGTTCTCCAACAACATAGAGAGGGAACAATGGCATGTCATGCTGCCGTGTTCGGGTTGGACGGCTGCTTGATAGCTGACGAAGTTCGGCTGCGCAGTGGTTGTAGACCTCTAAATACTTTTTTCTCAGTAGGGGGTTGGACTTTTCTGGATCTTCACATTCAAATTGGGTGGAAGAGGTTTTTTTTTTTTTTTTTTTTTTTTTAAGTTATATTATTCTCTCAATTTCACCTCACACTACCTACCTACCACTACTCCTAATTGTAGGCATACGGGGAACCCCGTAGCAGCCAGAACCGTGTTCACAAGAGAACATGCGGGGGCTGCTCCCGACCTGCAGGTGGGCGATACCGGCTAGGGGACAGCCGGTAGCATCAGGGACCATACCTGAGGGGAGGCACAGGGATTGGAAGAGGTTTTATGTGAGTATACCTTTTTTTTTTTTTTTTTTTTTGGGAAATGTGAGTATACCCGTAGATGGGGGCCCACCACGTGATGGTCCAGATGGTAGGGTTACGTTCTAAAAGAAAGTCGGAATAGGGCGGCGTGGGAGCGGGAGGCGACGAAGTTCGGGCCTAGGCGCGCCCGGCGGAGTTTGGGTCTCGGTTTCGGTTCCGGTCCCGGTCCCAGTTTGTGTCATGAACGCGAGGGTTCAGCGTCGAGGTCGAGGGCGGGTTGGGTATTACCGGCGACGTGGGAAACTGCGAGAAGGGAACCAGATTAAATGAACAGGCCTCGGAGTATGTGTGCTTTGCGCCGGTGGCCCTGCCGAGGCGTCGGCACCGCAGTAGAGAATGCGGTACGGTAGATGCGCTGGAGAGAGAGAACAGGCAACGAGGAGGGTGGCCCGGCTGGTTTTCTCCGTTGGAGCAGCGCCCCCTTTTTGCCCCTGCCCTTTAGCTGTTTCCCGCCTGCCGTCTTTCATCAAAATACTGTGAGCACTCGGCGCGTGGCCGTGCGTGTACCCCTGGTTTCCTTTTCCTCACCGGTGCGAGGCTCGCTTGGAGGGGTGTGTGTGGGCAGGGGTGAGATATTTCGCCTGTAGGTTAACCGGCAACAGCTCTTGGGACGGACAGGAAATGGTGTCGGAGCTGGCTCGAGCAGAGAGCGAAGCCGAGGCGAGTGGTGCCGTGCCTTGCCGTGGAGTGTTAAGTGGACACGAGCTGATTGCTAATCTGTTCGGCAAGGGCCCCATTTGGGAGAGGAGGTAGAAGACGGCGGGGGAGCGGACGTGGCGCTAAGGAGCAAGCAACTGCGAGAGGTGAGGACTGTGTGAAGTGCGGGTTTTGACGTTTGTGAGCGGGTGAGGGTTTCCGTTCAGTCGTTTGACCTTGCAAAAGGAGGGTCTGGGAGGGGGGTTGATTTAGGTCGTCAGGGGGGAACATTGGGAGAGAGGGGGGGGTAGGGGGTGAAGGCTCGAAAGGAACAACGCCGGCTCCACTGCGCCACGACAAGTAGCCACGTGGGAAGGGCCGCTTTCAACTTTCCCTCGCCCTGATTACCTTTCCTCCAGGCGGAAGACGGACGAAATCAGTCCCCGCAAGGAGTAAGCAGGGGCGTTGCGAAGGCGAGGAGTCGCCTCTCATTCATTGATTGAGCGAGGGGTGTATCTCGGGTAACGAATGAGAATGTTCTTTGTTCCGTGACAGCAGATACCCGCCCTAGCGAGGGGTGTTCAAACCTTAGCCAGAAGGGATGAGAGTGAGGAACACGCGGGGGTGAGGAGAAGGTAGGAGATCTGGTGCGTCTTGTGGGGTGAGGATGAGAGTAGAGGGAAAGCGAAGGAGAGCGGCGCGTAGTGATTGCTCGCTGGAGCGGGAGAAACATTCATTGGAAACAAAACTTTGACAAGGCCATGCTTCGTGAATTGTTGTTTTGCAAGATACACGACTGCTTACCTTGTCGGTGGCGTTCTCCGCCCTAGTACTGGGGAAGAAGAGAGGAGAGAGAGAGAGGGGAAGGCGATAAGAACATAGGTGAGCAGGACGTTGCTGGATTGATCCCCGTGGTAACAGATCCGTATCTGTTTAGGAGAGAGGAGGGTGGCGAGTGCGGCGGATTGTTGATGGTGCAGCTTTTTCACATACAGAACTAAGTTGCCGGAGAGGCGGAGAGGTGATGATATCCTTTCGGTTCTTGGGAATGCCACGTATATGATAACCATGCGGTGGAATCGATGTTAATGCTAGTGCTATCTGGAAAGCGATAGCAAGAAGCGCCCTCGCCGCGTGGGTCGGCGGATGAAATCTGGGAGAGGGGCGTGGATGGAAGAAGAAGCGGAAAGATTCGAAAGCAGAGTATGGTATGCACAGGAGACGGTGGCAGGGAGGTAGTGGATTGATAGGAGAGGAGGAGAGGCTATATCTCTTGACTTTTGCATTTGTGTCTGGGGAAATTATCTTTTTTTCGTTTGGTTGGAATGGAACTCCTATAGGTACTCTCTCTCTCTCTCTGCGACACCCTAATCCGTTGAGGAGGAGGCGACGCCGTACGAAGAAGTCGAGGAGTGGGTTCCCGTTCTCGCCAGTCGGAGGGACCTATTCTTGCCTGTTTTGAAGCGGGTGAATTAGGGAAGGATAATCCGCTCGTGGAGTTGAAATTGGATGTATTACCCTTATCTGCTAGTGATTCATTGATTTGATGGACGCCTGTGCGTAGAGAGAGAAAGAGAGAGCGAGAGAGAGAGCGAGAGAGAGAGCGAGAGAGAGAGCGAGAGAGAGAGGGGGGAGTGCGAGTATTCGGCCTCTTGGTGGTAACATACTGTCGTTATTTGCTGGAAGAAGGGGGGAAAAGGGGGGGGGGGGGGGGGGGGGGGGGGGGGGGGGGGGGG